GTTTTTCTCTGATATCTATATTATCTGTATCTTATCAAGGATGAAAAAACACATCAGCCTATTTTTTCACGCTATTCCCAACTGAGATTTGAACAAATATGTTGTTAGTATTTTTGGTTTTGTCTGTGATTTTTATTTTATATATTATGTTTTACACTTATAATTTCCATTTTTCATAATATCTGTTTTCTCTTTCACTTGGACTAAAATACTCTTTTCTGAAGGCTACCATTTTGTCTTAACATCTTGAACCTTGCAATCTAACTATACTAGCTTTTAATTGGCTTTCTATTTTCTTTTTTTGTTAAGGTGCATTCATTCCTCTGTGGCTCCTGGGATGCCTAAGAAGCCTCCATGCTGAGTGTAAGGATTTTAATTTCCTCACTTTTGACTTTAGGGTTTTCTAACTAACTTACCCCTTGAAAAAAAATTTCATTATCAAAAGTTTAGTGTCACAGTCCTGCATTTGCTGCAATCACTCCCTTGAGAATGTTGAACTTAATTATGCTGTGGTCACCACTAATTAGTGGTTTAGCAATAGTTACTTCTTGAACCAACACTTGTATATTACATAGGACAGAATAACTTTCCCTCATGTGTGCTATAGAACTAACTGCTATAAAAAATATAGTCTGAGAGGTCAAGAAGTTCTTTTTCTAAATCTCCCATTGCAAAGGATGAATTTCTGTGCAGATAGTTGAAATGCCCCATTACAACCATTTATTAGCCTTGGTTGCCCTATTTGTGCCCGCTGACACTTCACACTTCAATATTAGTACATTTTTGCACGATAGGAAATTCTGTCATAGGTTATTAAAACTGTAGCATGTGCTTTCAAATTGAATTGAGTTCCAATATCAAAATTCTCTGCAGGGCAATAGGCTTGAAAATCTTGAGGAAAAAAATATAATGTTGGTGTGAAATTCTACAACAGCATCACTCAACATTATTTTAATGATTTAATAGTCAGTAACTTGTGAGCTACACTAGTATTCTTATAAGCAGAAACATTTTTCTACATATATTCTTTTAATTCTCCTTGCCTTGACTTCTGTATTCACTGAATTCGCTGCATTATTATGAAAGAGTGTTATTATTTCATTATTACAAACAATTGTGTTCCATATACTTATATATGGATATATATGCAAGATATCCCCGTACTCTCTGAGTACTTCTCATACAAATAGAAAAATAAATATCATTCACAGACATTCAAAATACAGGCATCTCTTACTAACCATTCTAAACAGTCTTTTTAATTGCACATTTTATTTATTGATCATGTCTACTTTTTCTTACTTTTATCTCACATTAATGTGTTAGCATGAAGAAGCCCCAATTAGTTATTTATTGTATGCTTGGAAGATAAATGTCACTGCATTTTTAATTGTTTTCCAGGACTTAAAGAAATTAAATTATTTCAGTTTATTGTTGTAATTAAGTATTTCTTTATTGAAATACTGTTCTAAAGAACCTGATTTTAGTCAGATTAAATACTTGTATATCTTTGAGATATACAATATCTGGCTTTGATTCCATTAGAGAGGACCCAGATGTTCACAAAAAACAACAAAGACAGTATTTTCAATAAAGGTGACTAAAAGATCAAACACTTAGAGGAGCTACTTCAACCAAGCATGTTCAATGCACCAATATGCAGTCAGTTATAGTTTACAGTACTCCAGTGATTCTGGTGGATGATAACTTTCCTGTAGACTTCAGCTCTGTGACTTCATATAGCTTGGCAGATGTGCCAAATCAGAGTGTTTCATCCCAGAGATATAATTAACATATTATGGAGCCTGCTGTAATTTGTTTAAATAGAATAAATGAGGGCAATGTGAAGGCAATGGCTCCAATGATGTCAGGAGAACCAGGCTGACATGCTTTTGTATAGTATGGTCCATAATGTTCTCTGTAGATCCCCTTGGCTTCAGAATCTCCCCTAAAATTATCCGCATCTGACAAATCATATATGCTAAACAACTAGCCAAAAGCCTTATAGTGGGATTAAAATGCAGGAATTTGTCTCTTTACTGCTGCCTGGTCAGTGAGAAAGCACAGTACTGCATTCTAGATTCTGATAACAAATGCCTCGTTTGGGGAATGTTTATATCCAAAAGACTCGTTTAGCCCAAGATATAGATAGCTATGAACTTCAGACTGTTGTGAAATTCCTCCCCAGACTAAAATACACGTACACACCCTTAAAAAAAAAAAAAAAAAAAAAAAAAAAAAAAAAAAATGAAAAAGGAGGAGGGGTTGGGTATTAACTTTTCTTACAAGATAGCTTCCAAAGACAGAAAGGGAAATAAGCCCAGTGATGGTGGAAATTCCAGTGTCTCAGGTGAAAAAATGCTAATATAGTTTTTGGACATGGTTTTAAGCTTTGCCAAAGAGGAAATGGAAAATTAAGAGGTTCTTGGAAAATGAAGAGGTTTTGACTGAAGATCAAGACACTGACTCAAGAGGGCCTGAAATTCTACAAAAGCTATTGCCAGCTTGCGTCAGTGAGAACAAGTGGAAACAACCCAAAGAAATTTATCAAGTTACATTGGCAACTGAACTTAAAAGAGAACAAAAAAATGTGTTTATTCTTAAACTTTTCAATTACAAGGCCTCAGCAGCTTTTTTCTCTCAGTATTTCTGTGGCCCTGCTTCTAAGTTCTTCTAAAACCTTTTTAGACTCTTCTTGTTTTTTCCCATAGTTTTTACATTATCCAAGGGGTCCAAAAGTCTCTTTGTTTTAATTTATGTAACAAAGGGGTTAATATTACTGATGTTTTCTCTGCTGGGATGCCAAACAGGGTCACCAGATGTGATTCATAAGTTGTTCTTGCATGCTGCTTAGCAAAAGCACAGCTGTGGTTACACACTGGGGGTGGAGGGAAAGGCAAAAAGATCCTGACCCCACTGGAGTCAATGAGAGTTTTACTATTTACTTCCATGAGACCAGAATTTCACCCCGAGTATCTACATGGGTCTTGTTGTTTGTTTTCCTTTGTTCATTAGGATCCTTACTATCACCATTGCAAGCTTCCATGGAGATTAGATGTGAATCAATAAAGCATGTAATTATAACCACCAATCTTCAATATTGGATGACAAGTACATGTAAAATATGAATAAAAGCTTTAACTTACGATGAAACCCTGTTTTGTGAGAGAAAATTGGAGTTTCTTCCTTTTTTCCACATAGTAGCTACTTTTCTTAATACATGTATATATATATATAGGCACCTAAATGTTAGCATTTGCAGATAAACATTTTATTCTGGTTTAAGTGTGTAGACATAGCAATCAAATTGTTTTCTCCTTCAGAATTTTATGATATTCTGAAAAAAAAGTATCTAACTTTTTGACAGGCAGGAAGAAAGACTTAGTTATCTTTGGCACTACCAGCAAAACCTTCATTGAACTTGGTTTTCAGTTTCATTTCTGTTTCTGAAATATGAAAAATGGCAAATTGAACACAATTGCAGATTCATCAGAATTTTCTGTTTTATTAGTGTAGTCCCTCTAAATTGATTCTACCAATACGTTCTTATTAGCTTATCAAACAAAAACTGAAATTAGCATACACTATGGCTAAAGACACATCAGTTAGCTCAGAAAATTTTATTATAACAAGATGAGCATAAGAAGAACATGATTTCATATGAGGAAATCATAGTAAGATTCTGTAAATAAGGACCTTATTTTGCTCAGAGAGGGATCTTTCTGACATAATTTTTCACCACCCTCCAGTTATGTGAAAACTAATCTATGATAATCATGAAGTCTCAGCTTCTCATTCTTCTGTATACAAATGGTAAGACTTTGTACTAGATTATGTAATTCCTCCATGGATATGGTTGTTCCATTATCTCTGTAAATATCGGACACATGTGAGACTGGAAATGTTGTTGCATACTCAGTTTACCACACCAATATTGTATTTGAATTCAGCTGAGATGGTTGACTGTAAAGCAGCTAAGTGAGTTTATCTCCTTTACAGAACTTTTATGAAGTACAATGACATTTCTTCTGCTTCTGTTTTATCTGATTTAACAGAGTCAAATAAGATTCATTGATAAGACAGACAGTTATGTCTTGACACTCAAAATTTCCAACTCAGAAGTGGTGGTTACAGTCTAACAGAAAAAAAAAAAAAAAAAGTCTGGCTTGAAAATCAAATAGTATATGCCAATCATGTACAATCATTTACTAATTTACTTATCGTACATGCAACTATCAGTATAATGTTTCCATCTCAGAATTTAGGGTAGTCCTTATTTCAAACACACACACTCAAACGCTATCAACCCTTATCGGAAAAATACTAAAGGAAAAGCATATTCTCTTTTTCAGCTATCCCAGGTAACTGCAATGAAGAGAAGGAAGGTGTTGGCTGGCTCATCAAAAAGTGTGAAAAATGAAATATTTATTTCCAACGTATGGCTTGCAAACAACATTGAAGTCAATATGCAAGTTTATATAAGGATTATGTCGACACTATAAACATGTATGTAGCTGGTCTGAGTTTGTACTACTAAATTTTTTAGCCTTTGAATAAATGGTGACCAGATGCAAATTCCTTACTAGTCATGGACCTTTGCTACATTTCAGATTGAACCCAGGATCTGCTTGGGAAAGTGCTTGCTGGTTAGGGACAAAACCATCCGGAGACTGTTCCAGCTGTTTAGTAGCATGAGTCTACTCATTTAGTCTGAGTTCCAGTATCCAGGAAGTTTCTTAGCTTTGTTTAATTTAGTAATATAGGTGTAACTGGCATTTGCTTATGTACGCATACGTTTTCTGTGACATAATAGTTTATTATGTTCAATATTTCAGTAATACTCTGCAGGTCACTGAACACCATACCCAATCCAAAAGCCCCTTCTCCCCAAACTACATAAAAATTACTTAGTGATGACCAAAAATCAAGCCACTGCATAGCCAGACAGGACATTTGCAATGTTCTGAAGTTCAATGAATAAAATAATCTTTGGCACTTACATAGGATCACTCATCCAAGCAACTCAAGGAACTTTGGAGACACTAAATAAGGAAAATGTTGCCTTTGGGACCAGCTGGAAGACTGTAAAAAGAAAGCAATTGAAATCATTATAAATGTTCTTTAAAACAAGAAGAAAATTTGCTTCCAACAGAACTGTTAAGCTCTGATGTGCTTTATTCTTGTGAGTACAATACTTACATTTGGAAATAACACAATTTGCACTTCTTTGTAATATTTATTGTGCCACTATATGGGCAAATGTAATATATTTGTTAATTTGCACTCTGAAAATTTACTGAATAATTATGCATCTCAAAATATCAAATTTTATCTGAAATGTTTGTATGAGGGGACATTGTAAAAGACTTTGAGACACTGTCCATCAGTCACTAGTATCTGAGCTCACCTCGGAGACTTGGAGTGCAGAATAAGGAAATACTTCACCATCCATTCAACTGGGGTAGAGGAATCTGTTACATTGCCCAGAGAAGGGATTTTGAATGGTATTTATATATGTTCTGTGGTAAGATTTTATTGCTAAAACGTTTTATTTTAGCTCTGGACAATGTCAGCCTTCAGTTCAATCTGATCTTTTGTAGCAGAAAAGGCCACAGCAAGATCTTGCTCGGAACAGCTGAGTTTCCAGTGCCTGGTCATTGGCACCAGGGACTGCCGAGATGCGTCATCCCTGCGGGTGTTATTGCCTGGGGCTGGGTGGAGGGGCAGGTAGTCTCTGAGGATGGGAGGGAAGGCAGCAAGCAAGCAGCAGCTGCTCTATGCATTGACTAAGGAAGACTTTCAGCCCCGCTCCCATTGAGGTCATGCCAATGGCTAAGTGGAATGAGCCTCAGCCTTGACAGCAGAAGCCGGATTTTATTTTCCATTGAAGCTTTTGCCTCACAAATCCATAGCAAGTCATCTCATCAGGAGGTGTTTTCCAAGGAGGTTTTTTCCAAGAGAGGGCAGGTTCTCAATTGACAAAAATTTGTATCTGGACAATTCCAGTCACATTTATTCCTGTTTGGGTGGTTTATTTTCCTTTCCTTTTCTACAGCAGTGATGAGGTTGTTGTCTTGGTGTGTACACATGTATGCATTATGTATAAAACTTTTCTTTTGTAGGTAGGGTCTGTCTCTTCAGAAGTTGCCCAAAGCCAGAAGTACACTGGCACTTGCTGCTCATATAGGGTATATCTACAAAACGCAATAGGAGACTCCAATTTAGCCTTGAACAAGGCAGTTGGGCATCAAAGGCAGCATATACGTATGTGTGTGTATATAAATATAAATATAAATATAAATATAAATATAAATATAAATATAAATATAAATATAAATATAAATATAAATATAAATATAAATATAAATATAAATACAAATAAATATACATGTACATATACATATACATATACATATAAATAAATAAATATACACACTGGCCTGATGACAGAAAGCTTAAATATATTCCAAACAAGTAACCATATAACATACCTAAAATTCTTACAGTTATTTCATTTCAGTTTTACTGACTTCTAACCTAGTATTTTCTCTTTCCATCCTGAAGGTCTGTTGTTTAATGCTATTCAAAAGGCATCAGATACCTGCCTTTTAAATGGCAGAAGTCTGAAAGGTGAAGTAAGTGCCACCAGTGCAGCTTATAATAAATCAAAAAATTTTGCTGTTTTGGACACATTCTTTTTTTTAATTATTTATTAAAAAAAAAAAAAAAATCTGTTAAAGGGTCTTTATGATTATCAGTATATTAATGATAAATTAAAAAGGAAAAATATAATAAAAATATGGTATGTGATTTCAAAGTGACAATGTTGATAAATGTTGAAGTAAAGATTATAGAGTGATTTCCATTTTGATTTTCTGGTTTTACTTGTTTGTCACATTCTAGAAACTACTTAGAACATGAATTTGCCAGGCCTGAATTTTACATTAATTTTAATAGAGACTGACCAGCCATTTTTTGTAAGACAAGAACAAAATAAATGAACACTGCAGTGAGTATTACAATACACAAAGTGTACCACCAGCGAATAATCAGTTATCAATTTCCACATAACAAAGAAATAAACCGGGGAAGTCATGATCATAGGTCACTGTGAAGACCACAGATTAAAAAGGAGACAAAGGACTAAACTTCCCAGAGGTTTTGTTCCTCACAAAATCTAGACTGGAACAATTCTTTCACTACAGATTTGCTAATGGCAAATGTCAGCACCAGTGTCCTTTTGATTTAAAAAATTATTTGGGGACAGAGTGTTAAATGGGCATGAAAATAGATTTAATTTGGTAACATACCTATATAAGATAACTTCCATGGATAAAAATAGATGCTCTTGAAAATGCAATTACAAAATATGATGAATAAGGGCAGAGTAATGGAAGACATAAATTTTTAGAACTAGACTTCAAATGTCGTAAGTGAAGGATAAGGTTTAAGAGGATAAAATTTTATAGCAACCAACAAGCCTTTAAATAGAATAAATGCTTATGAATCATTTAAAGTAGCTGTGGCCAACCATGTGGGTTCGTTTGTAGGCTCTACATCTTTGCCAGTAATTTAGTATGAAATTTCCTAATCTATAATGATACTCACTGAGGCCAGCAGGTATGCACTCAGGATCATTGTTCTTCCATCGTATGGAACAGGGATCTGTCTTTATCAATCTGAATGGTTTACAAACTAACATGAGTACACTCAGATTAAAAAGAGAATATGAAGTGAGACCTGTTAAGGTGATTAATTATTCTAAACCCATACTCTTCTTGTAGGATGTCTAAGGATTCACCTTGGATTCCCTGTAATTCTGGGGAGGTCATGAGTGGTGTCTGCTCTACTGAACTCACCTTTAGTAGAAGACATTAATGTGCCTTGGGTAAGATAAGAAGCACAATGTTTTGAGAGGTCTACCATCAACTGGAGAAGCATCAGTTGGAGAGGACAGATGTGTGTACCTCTGTGCTTCATTTGCCAGCCTATCCCACTGCCTACTCAACATGAGTAACCTCATCAAAGAGTAAAGTTCAGTCCATTACTGACACTCTCTAAAAGTAACTTCTGCTGACATAAAAAATCCTTAATTCACATGATACTTTGGTTTTGGGGTGGAATGATGGGAGATCATACCCAAAATACCCCCAGTTATCACTTTTAGCTATTACTCTGTTACTTTGGAGAAGTGGACAATAGCCTTAGTTCTCATTTATCTTTTTTTTTTTTTTAATAATATTATTTAATTTCATATCAAATACTTGCTGTATCTTGTGGAAACTTCATTTCTTATTAGACCTAGCCATCACAGAAGTGATGTGAAAGGGGATAAACATATAACTACTCCAATTATGTAAAAACTGGGAAAAAAAAAAAAAAAAAAAAAAAGAAAAAAAAAAGTGCAGTGGAGAGTAAAAGCAAAAATGTTCTTTCTCCTTCACTCCTTCATTTGGAATTGCATCATCCATAAACTTTGTCACATGGCATACACACAAGAGAGGGTCATAGGATAAATATACATTTTAAACTTTTAAAATGGAAAAAGTTTATTGACCTCAGAATCCTTTGAAGAATTCAAAAACATTCCATTATGTCTTTAAAATACCATATAAAAATATTCTTTTTTTTTTTTTTTTCTGTGAAAGCATAGAGAGACACTTGCCCAAATCATAGAATCATAGAATTATAAAGGTTGGAAATGACCTCCATGATCATGATCCAACTGTCCCCCTACCACCAATATTAACCACTAAACCATGTCCCTAAGCACCAGGTCCAACCTTTCCTTAAACACCCCCAGGGACGGTGACTCCACCACCTCCCTGGGCAACCCGTTCCAATGCCTGACTACTCTCTGACTGGTTGCCAGATGGACTTAACTCCATTCACCACTATTCACTGGGTCTGGCCATCCATCCTGCAAAGAGTGTACCTGTCCAAGCAGTGAGCTGCCAGCTTCTTCAGGAGAATACTGTGGTAGGTGGTGTCAAATACTTTTCTGAAGTCTAGCAATATCATTTAACTTCAGACAGGTATCTGAACATAACAGTTCTTGAATGCAAGATTCATAAGATAAGAGTCACTACTTTTCAAGATTCAAGTCATTATTTTAGCTAGTTTTTGGTCAGTTGCTCTTAGCAGCTGTTGCAGGAGCTATTTCCACTTAAAAGAAAACTAATTAACCCTGCAACAGGGAACTGAACCTTGCTTTTTACTTTCATATGTGTGTACAAGTTTGTTATTTTTCTACAGCTGATAAGTCTCTGATCTTGACAAAAACACCATCAAAACTGAAAATATTTCAAAGTTTGTTCTCTCTCTCCCCCCCTTCTTAGAGAGATAAAACACATTAAAAGAGTATTTTTAAAATAGTTCCAGTTATTGAACTATTGAAAAGTTGATATTGAACATGGCTCTCAATATCAATATCTCAAGATCAATACCAATATCAATAAATTAATGTTGCAAGTAACGTAATTCTTACGGGAGGTATAGAATCATAGAATCATAGAATGGTTTGGATTGGAAGGGACCTTAAAGACCATCCAGTTTCAGCCCCTCTGTCATGGAGAGGGACACCTCCTATTAGACCAGATTGATCAAAGCCCCATCCAACCTGGCGTTAAACACTTCCAGAGATGGGGCATCCACAGCTTCTCTGGGCAACTTGTTCCAGTGTCTCACCACTGAGTGAGGAATTTCTTTGTTATACATCATATAAACCTTCCCTCTCCTAGTTTAAAGCCGCCATTTCTTGTCCTATTGCTTCACTCCCTGACAAAGATTCCCTCCTCGGTTTTTCTGTAGGCCCTGTTTAGGTACCAGAAGGCTTCTGTAAGGTCTGTACAGAGCCTTCTGTTTTCTGGGCTGAACAACCCCACCTCCCTCAGCCTGTCTTCATAGGAGAAGTGTTCCAGCTCTTTGATCATCTACATGGCCCTTGTCTGGACTCATTCTAATGTGTCCCTGTCCTTCTTGTGCTGGTGATTCCAGAGCTGAACGCAGTGCTCCAGGTGGGGTCTCATGAGAGCAAAGTAGAGGTGGAGAATCACTTACATTGAATAACCTCCCAAGAATCT